ATCTGCAGGGAGCGAGGTGGGGGATGGAGGTAGGAGGGAAGTGGTGTTTGAAGTCACTGCCCAGTATTTCCAAGTTCTGCTCTATCTACAACCTTGATATTTTGATGTTTGATAGAGTGATGGCTATGCTTGCCCTAAGCCCAGAATTGTCCAGGTGCCTGGCACATAGGAGGCACTCAGAACAATTGTGCTTAATAAGTGAGAGAATGAATGAATGGCTAAGTAAAAAAAAAACAACAGTGAAAATGACAGCACAGATTCTGGGTCTGAATCACCTACCGAATCAGAATTACTGATGACACTAGGGGTGAGGCCTAGTGATCTGTGTTTACAAGCACTGGGATGAGTCCTATCCGGTGAGTTGTGGGTGGGGCATGCTGCCATATGGCAGAGATTTCCAGACTTAACCTGATTCTGATATGAGTTTTTAAAGGCTCATACCTTGGATTTCCTGAATCAGGGTTAAAATCCAGGAATCCATGTTTCCATGACAACTCAGATGGTTCCAGATATGGGAACCACTACAGCAGAAAATACTGGGCTGAATTTGCTCACACATGGAATTGAGGTCAGACTTAATGGGTAATGAGATCAGCTTGTTGTTTAAAAAAGAAATCCCTGTCTGATTTGGGTGACACAGTTGTAGGCATTTGTCAAAATTCATTAAATTGTACACTTAAGATTTGTGTATTTCACAATAAGTAAACTATCACAAAAATATGGGGATAGACATTGAATTCTAGCTAATAATATGCATGCTGAAGTGTTTAAGGGGGAAGTGTACTGATGACTGCAACATGCTTGGAAATGCATCAAAACTAAGATGGATGCCTTAGATATGTGATAGGAATAGATGAGTAGATAGATATGTGATAAAGCAAACAGAGCATCATTGTAGATTCTAGGTAGAAGGTATATGGGTGTTCACTCTGCAGTCCTTTCAACTTATCGGTATATTTGAACAATTTTATAATAAAATGTTGAGAAGACAATCCCTTAAAGAATGCAGGCATGACTCTATAAAGCACTCCACGTAATGATGCACACCAGAATTGGGAATCATTGCCCTCCAGGGCCAACTTAGTTGACAGAAATATCAACCTGGGAGCTGTTCTTCATCTTTTAAAGTTTCATAGGAAAAAGTGTAAGAATTGGGAAGAAGTTTTTGGCTTTTGTCCAGGAAAAGACACTTGACCATGTGTCTTGTCGATTGATCTTAACACGTGAAAGCTTTTGGAAACATAGAAATACCTTCAGCCTGTATTCAGTGTAAAGGTGAAGACTTTCTACATCCTGGGCAGGCCTCAGTTTCCTCATCTGTAAAATAGGGACAGTAACACTCACCCCAGGCTCCTTAATGCTTGTTACCTCATTATTTAACTTTTGGTAGGCTATAATATTTTAATTTCTCTTAACCTAAAGTATTACATGAACATTATAAAAAGATTCTAAAACACAAAGTGAAATAAAAACCCTAGCCTCATTTTCTGGCAATAGCCCTGTTAGAATTTTAGTATTTATTCTTCAAAGCAGCTTCCCTCATAAAATATACATACATATATAAAGTGTATGTATATATATACATATACACATCTATAAATGTGTAAATATATAAATACTTTGCCATTTTTAAAATAGAAATGAGACAATATCATTAGGTAGCTTGCCTTCTTCACTTAAGCTGGGTAAACATTCAAAAATATTAACTAATATACATTTAAATACTAAGAATGGTTGCATATTTATTGTATGGAAGCCCAGTAAAATTTGCCTAACCAATCCTCTATTGTTGGATGTTAGGTTATTTCCTAAGCTTTTCTTCCATAAATAGTGCTAAAATGAATCCCTAGATATATACGGTAGCAAATTTATCAGATTATTTTCCTTGGGATAAACTATAAGATGGGGAGGGTCTCTTCTTCCCAATTGGGGAGGTCAAAGTTAGTGACACAAGTTCCCCCATCTCCTTTGCAGGATTTCATGCCCCTACCATGTCCTGGCCAGTGGCAGGCACTCTCATGATTGAGCCCACTGAGTCAGAAGACAAGGCAGAGCTGGATAGGTTCTGCGATGCCATGATCAGCATTCGGCAGGAAATCGCCGACATTGAGGAGGGCCGCATCGACCCTAGGGTCAATCCACTGAAGGTACGTAGGCACTGGTACTTTATCTAAAATATCCCAGAGAGTATTAAACAGTGTCTGGATGGTGTGCCGGCAACCTCTGAAGTCTTACTGGAAGATGATATTCTTGCCTAGAATAATGCCATTCTTCTGAGCAGACCATACGTTCATTACCTGGAAGTTTAAATCTTCTTGAATCAACACAACCACTGTACTCAAGTATAATGTGGTTATTTATTTTCTTTTTCCTTTTTTTTTTTTTTAAGATTTTTTTGATGTGGACCATTTTTAAAGTCTTTATTGAATTTGTTACAATATTGCTTCTGTTTTATGTTTCCGCTTTTTGGCCACGAGGCATGTGGGATCTTAGCTCCCTGACCAGGGATGGAACCCGCAACACCTGCATTGGAAGGCAGTCTTAACCACTGGACCGCCAGGGAAACCCCGAATGTGGTTATTTCTGATATGTTTTAACTTTATATATGCGTTTGGTGGTTGCAGGAGCTATTTACCCCACAAGGACCCAGTTGGCTTCCAAAGGAGGGAGCAGAGGCTGAAGGACCCTATATAGTTGGAGAAGTCTTATCATTCTGTGTCTCTGTTTGATGTACTCTACTGAGATTATTTACCTTATAAACTCTGGATAAATATATTCTTTTATTGGAGTAGTTATCTCTTAGAACAACCAGATTGGTACTTGGCCTGAATGTTTTACCATGTTTATGGCCTACACTGGAAAAAAAATTGTTAGGCATTACTTCGCCTCTTCCAAAATATGTTCCTTTTATATCTGGTCAGAGCTCTAAGTTCTGCATTAGGTCCAGACATTATTAAGCTGAGGGATCATGAACTGAGAATACCTCGAAGGCTGTGGTTCTGTTGTTATGGCTTCAAGCCAGAGGAGTATGAGATGTTCAGGGGAGCTCAGACAAGTTCCAGAGCTGCCCAGCTGAAGGTGGAGTGCTGGGGCCAGTGGCTGGCGGGAGAAGGCCAGCACCGTGCTCAGTGTGAGTTTGACAGGGTAGTGGAGGAATATATGATTTGCTCTCATTATTATTTCTCTTTTCTCTGGATTCTTTCAGGGTTTAGGCAGTTTTTTTAAAAATAGCAATAGACATCTGAAGAATACAATACTGAGATACAAAAGCAAGTGGAGGATAATACTCACAGGATGATATAAGGTTTAAAAGTGTACCAAACTAGGCTCTATGCAGTTTATTAAAATATGCAGTAATAGTATAAAAACACTATGAGAATTGTGACAACCAAATTCAAGGTAGTTGTTATCGCTGGGGAGGAGGGCCAGCAATAAGATGGAAAGGGGATATGCAGGCAGCTTCAACTGTATCTGTAATGTTTGTTTTAAAAGGTTAAGAAATATGACAAAAATGTTGATTTATGTTGGGTGCTTATTTTATTACTGTAACTTTCTGATATTTGTAATATTTCACAGTAAAAATTTCCCTACCAAAATTTCCTTCCCCCCCCAAACTGAAACAAAACCACCACCCTCCGTCCATGGGCTTCCATCACCTCACTGGTTAATGTGATGTGCAGAAGGAAAAGGCAGTGTTCTGCTCTGACCCCTCTCCCATCCATGTCTCTGTCTCAGATGTCTCCACACTCGTTGACCTGCGTCACATCCTCCCACTGGGATCGGCCGTATTCCAGAGAGGTGGCAGCATTCCCACTTGTAAGTTCTCCTCTGAAACTGGATGGGCCAGCTGGTCCACGTTCATGGGTGTATGAGAGGCCATCACCTGCTCTGAAGGGCTCCCACTCTTGCTGTCTCCTCACCATAGTGACCACATGTAGTCAGAACAATGCAGAACCCAGGAATTGGCTTTCAGAGCTCTGAGGTCAGAGTCAGAATGCCAACCAGGGGCCTGGGAATCCTCAGGGTGCACAGTGCAGGAAGACCAAACGGGAGTCCCTGTCAAGTGGATCGATGTTTTCTACCATCATCCAACAGAGAGATGGCCCCAAATGCAGTCTTTCTCCCCTTTGATTCTTAGGTGAAGGTGCTCTGTGGTATGCTCGGCAGAGTAGGGACAGGGGGATTCGGATGGACAGTAATGAAGGAGTTTGGATTTTAGCTTTTTATACTTTTTGAGTACTTGTTGGGCTAATGGTACCTCAGGCCGTGGGAATATCATTGCAGTTTCCTCTTCCCCACCAAGAGAAACCTCTCAGAATATCCCAGAAGATTTCCGTCTTTTGTCCCTTGCAGCCCTTCGTGAAACCAGAAAACAAATTCTGGCCAACCATTGCCCGGATTGATGACATCTATGGAGATCAGCACCTGGTTTGTACCTGCCCACCCATGGATGTTTACGAGTCCCCATTTTCTGAACAGAAGAGGGCCTCTTCTTAATCTTCTCTCCCTAAGTTCAAGTGACTGATTTAATGGCTTTGGAGCGCCTGATAAAGAAATGTTTCACTTTCCACCGCAGCCTCAAGTAGGGGTTTTATATACTGTGTATATTTTTGTAATCTCTCTCAAGGTAAATGTAAATACAATTAGCATAGTGAGTGGAAGCTCATTGTTGGAAGATTGATTTGCTTTGGTGCCTCTGCTTTCACATGTAGCAGTTGACGTTCAGGTTGCCTTGATTGGGACCACTTAGTTTTTTGCATAGAAAATTTGGGGTGTGCTAGTAACTTTAACTGCAATGTAGCAAGTTTGCAGTATAGAGGCTATACTGAAGATCCGATAGACATACTTTTATTCCAAATAAGTCCTTGTGGACTATGCCATCTGTGGGAAATCCCAGGGCAAATGTTTACATTTTGTATACACTGGAGAAATCTTCTTCCCCCTACTAATTTGCCTAATCTGTAATAGTATTTCTGAGTGTTCTCCTTTTTCCATGTGTGTAGTTTTTTAAAAATCTGCAATTAATAATATTCTAATAAAAACACTGCAATTTGAAGAATGCCTTTTTGGTCCACTTTCCAATGTTAACTCCCATGTACCCTAGTTTCAGAGGAGTTTGAAGGGTAATGAGAATACCTAACCCAGTAGAACCGTTACATTATTAGTTGTGTCTTTGGCTAAAGAAACAGTTTGTATGTCTCGGTCAGCAGTGAATGCCACTTTAGCCCTTTCTGCTAGAATTGTGTTTGGCTGCATATAACTGAAAAACAACCACAGCAGTTTAATTAAACAGCAGCTCATTTTTTCTCATTTAACAGTAAGTCCAGAGATAATACGCCGAGGGGTAGTCTTCAGTCTTCCTGTTCTGCCTTCTTTGCATACAGTCTTCATCCTCACGGTCTTAAGATGGCTACTGCATACCCGGGCATCACATACCCATTCTAGGCAGGAAAAAGGAGGAAAAACAAAAGGCAGATTCCATCCAAGTCAGCTGCTTTTGAAATGCTTTCCCAGAGGTTCCACCCAGTAACTTCTGCTTACTTTTAACTGGCCAGGCTTGGTTCAAATTGCCACTCCTAGCTGCAAGGGAGTATGAGAAGGTCTTTTACCTGGGCATGTTACTGCCCCAAAGAAAACCAGAAGTTTGTTAATTGAAGAAAAGGAAAAGAATGAGTTTCAGGTAGGCAACTAGCACGCCTGCCACAAATAACTTTTCCCTAGAAATAGCAAATGCTTCATATGTTCTTCCCCAAAAGTTATTGAGCAGCTGCTCTAACCCTGACTACTTGGTTCCTTGTTTGTTACTCAACCAACCATCATTCAAGCTATTATGATAGTGACCTGGATGAAAGGTCTGCGTGCTCTACTGAATGCTCTGCAAGCGGTCTACTCATTCTCACACTTAAAAGTTTGTAGAACTGTTCATTTCAGCCTAACTAAGCAGTAGCGGAGCGATGGGATCCATGGTTCCTTTTTTACATAATAATTAAATGATTAATATCTGTTGAGTACTTCTCAGGTACTATTCTAAGTGTTTATTATTTCATTGGAGCCTCACAACATTCCACTTTTACACGAGGGGGAAGGTATGGAGAGATGCCCAAGGTCACACAGCTTATGAGAAAGAACAGCCAGAATTTGAACCCAGGCTGAACAACTCCAGTTCCTACTGGTGTAAACTGGGTACCACACTGCCATGGTCACCACACACCTGAGACTCTGCCCTTCCTGAGCTGGAAACCAGGCTCTCAACACAGACTGACCATCAGGGAATGGAGTAGCCCCTTCTGAGGAAGGACAAGCATGTGTAAACAAACCATCAGAGTGAACAGCAATTCTTTTCTTTCTTATCAGACTGTAAAGTGTTAGTGGTCGAGTGCCCATGTTGTCTCCACAGCTGGTCATTCACTGCTTGCCCTGGAATATGTTAGGGGCAAAAGCAGGTGATTAAGAGAGTTGAAGTAAACTGTCTGTCTTCACTATTAAGTCACTCATGCGTTCACCTGAGGCTTGTGCCGTCTTTCCCTGCTCCGGGTCTTTGCCCGTGTAGTACCGTCCACCTGGAGCACTTGTCCCTGTCACCTTTGCTTTGCTGGCTCCTGTTTGTTCTTCATGTTCCAGCATCTCTTCAGGAGGTCTTCTGCACGTCTCCATGAAATGGGATCTCTCTCTTATTTTCTAGCTTGGCACTCAGTTTGTTATCCTACACTCTTTGCACAGTTAGTAATTATTCTGTTTACTTGGTTTTTGTCTGCCTCATTAGACTAAGTTTTCTGAGAGCAGGGACCATATCTCATTCATCATTGGATTCCCAGTGCTGAGCTGGGGTCTTCCACATTGTATGTGTTCAACAAACAAATATAAATTGAATGAATGAAGGAATAATCCTTGATCTCAAAGAGGGACACTGCCATGAAAACCAGTATTCCCAGTGCATGCTGTGAGGGTTCTATTAAAGCTAAGTACAAAATGCCAGGCCTGGGAGACACGCCTCTGGACAGGCTTTGTGTAGTTCCCCCTCACCCCCACCTTGTGATAAAATTTACCATTTTAACCATTTTAAATTATTCAATTCAGGGGCATTAAGTACCTACAAAATGTTATGGAGAATATATACCTTTTGAGCACTTTTGAAGATGAGGAGTCTGATGTAGACACACACATACATCCTGTGAATCGGGCATCCCCTTGGCCTTCTCACAGCCCTGGGACAGGCCACAGGCCACTCCTGGAACAACCCTCGCCTTGCAGCTGTGTGTCATAGAGGGGAAGAGCCCCAGCTCAGTCTGAAAACCCCATGAAGGATTTCCCTGGTGGTGCAGTGGTTAAGAATCCACCTGCCAACGCAGGGGACACGGGTTTGAGCCCTGGTCCGGGAAGATCCCACATGCCGCGGAGCAAGCAAGACTGTGCGCCACAACTACTGAGCCTGTGCTCTAGAGCCCGCGAGCCACAACTACTGAGCCCACACACCTAGAACCCGTGTGGCGCAACAAGAGAAGCCGGCGCAACAAGAGAAGCCACCGCACTGGGAAGTCTGCGCACCGCAACGAAGAGTAGCCCCCGCTCGTTGCAACTAGAGAAAGCCCACGCACAGCAATGAAGACCCGACGCAGCCAAAAATAAATAAATAATAATAATTAAAAAAAAATCATGAACCCTCTAGAAACATATAGGGAACGTGTTTTCCAATGACCATACTGGTGCCTTTCATGCAAATAAAGGAGGTAGGTGCCAGTTTTGGGTGCAAGAAGCCATCTGGGACAAGCAGTTTGGAAGTTGAGATGTTAGCACTTTGAGAGGTTTGCAGGGCTCTGGGACATAACATTTGGCTCAGACATCAGCCAGGGTTAGGGATGTTACCTAGGGCAGTGGTTTTCAAACCTTAGTGTGTCTAGATCACCAGAAGGGCTTATAGACAACAGAATGCTGAGCCCTGATGCATTTCTGATTCAGTACCTCTGGGGTAGGGCCAGAGAATTTGCATTTCTAACAAGTCCCAGGTTTTGTTGCCGCTCAGCTTTCTTTGTTCACATTTCAGAGACATTTCCAGAACTCTAAGCCTTTAAGGGATGGGTCTGGGGAGGCAGGTAGGGGTGAGGAAGAGGCTGGACTTAGTCAACCTTGCATCTTTTATGCAAATCTTACCATTTTGAGAGGAAAATCCCTCTATGACCGGAGTAGACTGTCCTAGAGCCGATGCCACCTGTGCTTCCGCCTGTCTGGCCTGCTAGGCTCGCTCCTGCCATTTGGAAAACAAATCAGCTTTATTATCAATAAGAAGCCAATGGGAGACTGTGGTTTTAGAACTCTAGCTGGAAGGGCTTGCTTCTCCATTTTTACCCCCATGCTTCAGCAATCTGAGCCCGGGGACACCCCACTCAAGAAAAAAGCTTGAATCTGTAGAGCAGATACGCTAATCCAGAATTGCCGCCCTGTGCTAATCCCAGGTGAAGGGAAGAGATAAAGGGGGGGGGGCCTCCCCAGTGCTAGTGGAGTAACGTGGTGATCATCATCAATCACCTCCTCTGGAGAGCAGTAAGAGGTAAGCCAGGAGGCAGGAGTGTTACATCAGCTGAGGTCATTCCAGAATGTCCAGAAGATAAGAATCCAGGAAGCAGGAGTTGGTGCCCAACACAGAGCATACTACTCTCATAAATCTGTTTATTCTCCTGCTGGGTGTAGTGCAGGATAGCAACCAGAGTACTTGCTTTGTAGTCAGACTGCCTGGGGTGGTATCCCAGCTCCCCTATATCGTACCTGTATGGCCTCAGAGAAGATAATTAGCATCTCTGAGCCTCAGTCGCCTTATCTGTAAGATGACATTACCACTCCTAGGTGAGAGTGAATTCGATATATTGTTTGGAACCTGGCACAAAGTAAGTGCTCCTAAGTGTTAGCTCCTGTTATTATCCTCATCTTCACATAGGATCTAGTGTCCTATTCTATACATCCTGCACTCCCTGTACCAGCACAGGAGTCCTGACTCCAGTTTGACTTACCTTGCATTCAGATCCATCTTCTTTCCCTTTCCATTCCTAAGGGCCCTTTTCCTCTGGACCACCAGAGAAAGTGGGAGGAACATGAGCTGTGACTTCATACGGATCTGGATTAAATTCTCAGATATACCAACTGTTTTGAGACAACAGGCAAATTCACTTATCCTTTCTGCACTTCAGTTACTTAAGGAATAAAATAGCAATAATAAAAGTACTAAAAAAAAAAAAAAAGTACTTACTTCAGTCAGCCTTGTTGTAAGGATTAAACAAGATAGAGCGAGCACTTGGCATAGTGTCTGGTACCTAGAAATCACTAACTTATTCAGCAAACTGACTGAGCCATTATGTACCAGGCACCATTCTAAATGGCAGAGATACAAGATGAACAAGAAAGTTAAGTCCTCTTTCATGGGACATCAATTCTAGATGGACCAACACATCAAGACTTCACAGTATTAAATGTTCTTTAGAAAACAAAAACCAATATGGTCTGTGGGTGGGTGGTGTTTGGGAATCCTTTATATTAGGTGACCAGGGAATGATTCTCTTACAAGGTGACTTTCAGGCTAAAATCTGAACAAAAAGAAGCCAGCCATGACTAGATGTGGAGAAGGGGCGAAGGGGGTGTTCAGGAAGAGGGAGAAGCATATTCGAAGGCCTTAGTATCTGTATTCTCCATCTTATTTATTTAGCATTTGGTTATTTTCAATCTCATATGTAAAGGGTTTTAAGAATCCCTGGGAAATAGGGAAGGAAGAAAGAAGATGAGGAATAAACGCTGGGGTCGAAGAAAGGTGTCCGAATCTTTCTGGAGTCAAGAAGGGGGAGGAGGGGTTTGAGCCTAGAGTCGAGATCATAGGGAATGAAAATAGGGTCCAGAGAGGAAAAAAGGGACCCTGGCACAGGAATGGAGGGCTTTGAGGGAAAAGGAGAAAAGGTATTGGGGAGAGGGAGCGGTCCTTGGGTCAGGAAGGGAGGGAAGGATTTGTAATTGGGGACGGAGGGAGGGAAGAGAACTGAAAGTGGGAAAAAGATGCAGGTTAGGAACAGCAAGGAAATGGGGGAGGCGGTGGTAGGGGTCTGTGGTAGGGTGGGGAGAAGGATCCAGATGTGGAAGAGGAAGGAACATCATTAGCTCAGTGACACGGCAGATGAAAGAAATACTGGGGGGAAAGAAAAGCCAGATGGGGGGGTAGGGGAGGTGGGAGAACGTTCTCCAGGGGGAGAAGGAAGAGAAGGGAGTCAAGAGCACGAACAATTGGCCCAATTAAGGAGGCAGGAGAGAACTCCCTCAAATTAGGAAGAGGAGAGAAATCAAGAGAATGGGGAAGGGGGGTGGTTAAAAAGTTGACTTGAGAGCACAGGGTCTGACAAAAGGAAAGGGTGGAGGGCAGGAAGCAGCCCAAGCTTGGGAGGGAGGGAGGCCAGCAGTAAGCAGAAGGTGGAGGAAGAGGAGAGAAGCAGTGTTGGGTGGAGGGTGGGTGGCGAGTGGACCAAGAGACCTAGGGTCCAAGTTCCCTGGATGAGAAAGGCTGGGACGGGGGCACCAGACATAGTGGAGTGGGAAGGTCTCTCAATACAGGGGTAGAGGGAGGACCCCATGATTAGGAGGGAAATGTGTGTGGGAGGGGAAGACGCTGAGAGAAGAGGAAGGACAAGGAAGTCTTTCTTAGAAACCAACTAGGTGGCAAGAGTTCTGAACTGAGGGAACCATACAGGATCCAAACCTGAGGCCAGAGGTAAGGAAGTAAGAGGCAGGGGGGTGACTACCTCGGGGTTAGGATGTCTGTGAAGTTGAAAACTGAGTCCAGAGAGCAGCAAAGCCCTGAGGACAGGGCTGGTGGAAACCTCCCAGGAAGGGAGCCTGAGTGGCTGGAGGACCCGCCTGCTTATTACTGGCCACAGAAGCAGGCAGGGACCCTGCTGTGTATGACTAACCAAGATGTGTGGTCTGTGCAGGTGAGTGTATAATGTTCTTTTTCCTCTTTCTTGCTTCTCCTGTTCATATGTAATTCTTATCGCTTGCTTCATTGACTACTTGATCTCCCCCTTCCCCCCTCCCCTAGCCCTCCCTGTTCCGGGGGGCCTCCCAGCTGTAGCTTTACCTTGCCAACTAACTTCCCAGCCTTCATACACGTTGTCCATCTGGAGCTTTTCCCATGTCTTCTCCCCACCTCTCATATATATAACTTCCTCAGGATGGGGAATAAGTCCCTGATATTAAAGAAGCTACAATCTCTGCTGTCAGATCACCCATCCCGAAGTTTGTTTTGGAACATGTATAGGGGAGGGGGCAGTCTCCGGTGCCTGGAACTGGGAAGGGTTACTGGATACCTTTTCCGTAAAAGCAGTGCTGCTCAATTAGGGTTTAAGAGGCTTTTGAAGGCTAACCTGGAAATCTACCTCTTTCCTCTGTCTCATTGTTCCTACAGGAAATATTTGTACAGATTCATAGAAGAGATTTCATTTTCAACCTACATTAAGTCATAGATTATGGCCATCATTCTTCGACAAATTAAGTTCTGAAATGCAGATTGGAGATTGCCTGTAATTTCTCCTGAATTCAAGAGAATCAATGGACAGTGGACGGTTGAAAAAAATCAACTACAAATTATTATTATTATTATTTTGCGGTATGTGGGCCTCTCACTGTTGTGGCCTCTCCCGTCACGGAGCACAGGCTCCAGACGCGCAGGCTCAGCGGCCATGGCTCACGGGCCCAGCTGCTCCGCGGCATGTGGGATCTTCCCGGACCGGGGCACGAACCCGCGTCCCCTGCATTGGCAGGCGGACTCTCAACCACTGTGCCACCAGGGAAGCCCCAAATTATTTTTTTTTAAATGGACCTCCATGACTCTCTGGGGGTCTGGATCTCTTATAGAGGTCTAGGGTTTTCAGAACCAACGCAAGAGAATTTTAGTGTGATTTTGATCTGTCTATTGCACTGTAAAAGCACTAGTAAAAGCGTTTGTAGAGTTTGGGGTATGACATTTTCAATTTCCTACAAAAGCACTTCTGAAGATCATTTGAAAAAAATACAACAAAAAACTTGGTGAGATTCACAAGGTTTAAGTGCTTTAAGTAACAGCCGAAGTTATAAATTCCCAGAAAACAGGGTGGAATCCAACAGCACCAGGAGTGATATCAGTCATCCTAAAAAAATGCAGAATTTCCCCCAACAGTGCTGCCACTGGGAACTTGATCCAAAATTGCTACTCACTGCAGTAGGAAGCAGCCAAAGTACAATTAGATTACAAACAGATTCTTTCTTAAAAGTCTGGCATAAAGAATGGAAAAAGATAACTTGCTTGCATTCAAGACATTTTATCCAACATGAACTGCATAGGAATATTAAAGTTCCCCAAAATAGAAGAACTAGATGTTTTTATTGGTTAAGAGAAGCAGCTTCAATGCATTCCAAAAGACAATGAAGAAAATACTTTCCATGGAAGGAGACAGTTGGGTAGGCTGTTACATAAACTTGCAAATAGCAAAGGAGTGAGTATAGTGTGTGGTGCCAGCCATGTTGGCTGGGGGTGGGGTGGGGGGAGTGGGGGGTTACAGAGCAGAGTCAGCACTATTTCTGCATTTTGTCAGAAAGACAGCCTTTAGCCTGGGACAGCATCTGCCATTCACACCAGTGCTGTCAGTCTGAGGTCTAATGCTCCTGAGCAAGAGGCAGTTTGGGGACGAGAGGCTGAAAGGAGCCAGTTAAGTAGGCTCAGTATCATCCTTAAGCAACTTCATTATTTCCCAGAAACTGGTTGCATTTAGGAATGAAGCCCATGGTTTTTACGGTATGCAAACGAGAAGAGTCTCTAAAAAGAAATAGGTGCCATGCAACAACCACTCAGACATTTTCAGATAAAATTCAGTCAGGTTACACACCGGTTCTCTTTAAAATAGTGTCCAAACCTGGTTTTCAAAGAGCAAAAGGATGTAATACGAAAATACTGGAGTAAATAATCAAACAACATAGTGAAGCAGAAAAAGTAGTGGAAAGCAACACAGCCTTGAGCTTCAATTCTATATCTGCTCCTGACTACCGTCAGTGACTTAGGATGAGTAACTCTCTTATCTCCAGTAAAATGGAGATGATGGCATTTACCTCACAGGGTGTGCGAGTAGTAAGTTGGTATGAAAAATACCAACGGTACTCAATTCTTTTTGGACACAGAATGAACATATACGGGAACTGTTGCTATCCCTGCTCCAAAGACATAGATATGCCAGTGAAATACTTCTCTTCCCCCCATTAAAAAACACACATAGGTTCTCAAGGAAGAAAAGGAAATCTCCACTTGGCAGAAGTGAAGAGGGAACCCAAAGGACCTGACACTACGAGGCCCATGGAGGCGGCTGGACTGGATATGTGTCTTAGGAATTGGGATTCCAAAGATGCCAGGGAAGAGATGTTAGGAATTGAGGCTGCAGTTATAATGTATAGTAAGAAGCAGGAATGGGGTATGCTTAGAATTGGGAAAGTTCTGTTCCAATACCAGGACTGAAAAACTGGTATTTCTAGCTCAGGGTCACAGCAGGAAAACAAACTTTCCCTCCCAGGCCATGGGTGAAACAAAGTCACTAACAAGAATCTTTGCTACATATGAATGCAGAAGCCAAATTCATACTAGTTGCATCGTGAAAGAGTCCCATTCAACAAAATTAACAACTGGTTCAGTTAAAAAGTGGGCTAGACTCAAAGAGAAAATTCAGTGAATTGGAAGATTTAAGGAAATCACTTAGACCATAGCACAGAGTGGGTAAAGAGATGAAAGATGTAACAGATACCAAGGTATGGAGGGTAGACTGCTGCAAACTTCTAGGAGGTTAAGAAGGAGATAGAAAAAAATGGAACAATTATTTTTAAAAGAAAAAATTTTAATTCCAGAACTGCATTTTCAATTTAAAGGAGTACAATGAATCCCAAAGCAAAGCAAACAGCAATTAATCCACACCTAGATAGATTTTAGTGAAACTCCAAAGTTATTGGGGGGAAAAACATATATCCTTCAAAGAAATAATCAAAATGACATCCAACTTTTTTCAGCAATAAAAGATGCCAGAACGCAATGGAATACCTACAGAATGCTACAAAAAGAATAACTAGCAACCTAGAATTCTAAACCCAGCCAATTTATCTTTCTAAAATCAGTGGGGAAAAAAACATTTTCAGACCCACAAAGACTGAGAAAATTTACTGTTTGTAGACTTTCACTGAAAAGTCTACGGTAAAAAAACATCTTGAAGTATTCAACAAGAAACAGTGAGTAAACAGACAAAACCTGTCAAGTAAAACAGCAAGTCATATTTAAAATAACTTGAGTTTTAAAAAATAAGTTATAATGAATACTAAACATTAATAGGTCAGAAAAGGTAATCTGAAGGGAAACAAAAATATATTTGTTTTATTCAGAAAACAACTGAGCTACTGACCATTTTATAAATATCAATCATATCAATATGCTCTAAAGTGTAGTAAGTTGAAAGATTAAGGATGATCACAAAATGATAGAAACATTACCTTTCAGTCCAGTGTGTGTGTGTGGCAGGGGTGGGGCGGGGAGGATCAAATCCTCTTCAATTATGAGAATATGGAGGAAAAGTAAGAATTACTCCTGCCTCCTCCGTAACAATAAACAAACTGCAATGATAGGAATAAACATTCCAGTAAAACACACATAAAGAGACTAAGTTTACCTATTAAAAGAGAAGACTATCTTAAAGCATAAAGTCCAATGAAATAAAATTTGCAGATTTTAACATTTGAAATACTATATTTTGATTATGAATACCTAAGTGTAAACAGAAAAGGCAACACTGAACTCATAATTTCTTGGGAGGGGGAGGGGAATGGGCAGGGTGACTGATGAAAGTATGTCTGCTTTGTTTATAGTATTTTATCCATTTTTGAAAGGCTACTTCGAGGACTCTGAGTACCACACAAGATGAAGTAAATATATTTCATCTCATTCCTGCTACTAAATATAACCAAAAACCCTGGACAAAATATATAAAGCAACTATCAAAAGGCTCTGAAAGGTGGAAAAAAGGTGGTAGCCTGGGTAGGCACTTTGGAACTTGAGGAATGACCTGGAAGTTTCCTGGGGTTTTTCTTTTGCCACCTTTTTACTTTCCTGATTTGGGTGCAAGAAAAACCTAAAACCTGAAAACATCAATGGGTACAGATGAAGAAAACAAAAAGCCTGCTCTCATAAGCCAAAGGATGGGAAAAGGGTAACCTGTATGAAAAAATCCATTTGATTATACCTGCCCCATTCCAAGTGAACACCCATCCCCATACTCACTAGATGTGGCCAAGACTGTGGGGAGGAGCCCTGTGGACCATCCCTGCCCTGTACTGAGTGACCAGCTGCAAAGAGGCAGCATCTTAACCATCCCAACTAGAGGTTGAGGGAGGATTACAGAGAGAAAGAAGCTGGAGAAAGGGTTCCTTTAAATCTATTAATGAAGTCTTGGGCAGACCCTCAAGCAGATCATGCATGAAACTGACCATAATCAACATGGCAAAGTGAACTATGGGTGGACTACTGCTGAGGTTTCAGATTGGTTTCTGGGTAGCATCCAAGTGGAGGTGAACCAGAATAGCAACGCAGAGGCTTTGAAAATTGACACTGAACCACAAAAGTGGGCCTGAACCCCGCTGAACCTAAACAGTTGGCCTTATAAAATAGAAGATTTAAATAGGAATAAGATTCTCATACTACTCAAAATGTCCAGGATCCAGTACAAAATTACTCATCATATAAACTTGAGTAAGAGATATGCGGAAGACCCAAACAAATTTTAGAACTGAAAAATACAATAACCAAAATAGAAAAAACTTACCCGATGGGCTCAGTAGCAGAATATAGATGGCAGAGGAAATTATCAGTGGACCTGCAAGTCACTAAGAATTAATCTAATCTGAACAATAGAGACTATAAAGTGAGTAAAAATGAACAGAATCTCAGAGACTTGTGGGACAACAACAAAACGAACATTCATGGCATTAAAGTTCTGAAGGAGAGAAGAAAAAGTACAGGGCTGAAATCACATTTGAAGAAAAAATGGCTGCAAAGTTTCCAAATTTGACAGAAGATATAATCTAGACTCAAGAAGCTGAATGAACCCAAAACAAGACAGATCTGAAGAAACTCATGCTTAGTCACATCATAATTGAACTTCTGAAAATTAAAGACAAAAAAAAATCTTGAAAGAGGCTAGAGAAAAACACCACATTACCCATAGGGGAAGAACAATGTGAATAACAGTCGCTGTTTTTTTTAATTTTTAGTTATTTTTGGCTGCATTGGATCTTCATTGCTGAGTGCAGGCTTTCTCTAGTTGCGGTGAGCGGGGGCTACTCTTCGTTGTGGTGTGCGGGCTTCTCATTGAGGTGGCTTCTCTTGTTGCAGAGCATGGGCTCTAGGCACGTGGGCTTCCGTAGTTGTGGAATGCAGGCTCAGTAGTTGTGGCGCACGGGCTTAGCTGCTCTGTGGCATGTGGGATCTTCCCAGACCAAGGCTTGAACTGCTCTCTCCTGCATTGGCAGGCGGATTCTTAACCACTGCGCCACCAGGGAAGCCCAACAGGATACTTCTTAACAGAAAGCATGGAGGCTCAAGCCTTGACCAGGGGAGAATCCAGTTCCATACTCACCTCCTCTGGCTTCAGGATCTTACTGGCTGTTGGGTGGAGACATCAGTTTCTTGCCACATGAGCCTCTCTTGAGCAAGAGAGGGTGCCCAAGTGGAAGCCACAGTATCTAACTTTGGAAGTGACATCCCATCACTTCTATTCACTACATTACATGAGTTGAATAAAAGCATTCCAGCCCACACTCACAGAGAGTAGATTACAACAGGGCATGAAGCCCAGGAGGTAGAGATCACTGGGGACCATCTTAGAGGTTGCCTACCATGCCACCAACCAATTTATCAATAGCTTTGTCAATCAATTTGGATAGTAAAGAATTCAGTTTTAAAACAGCAGACGTTCTAGTGCCAAAGTATTAAAAAGATCAATTAAATTCAATTTCATGTCTACTGATAGGCTGAGAATTTAGGAATGCTATCGGTCAGGAAAGGCTGGGTCATGTGTTAGCGACTCAAAAACCTTATGCTCTTAAAATTTACTTCACACTCACGTTGCATGTACATCACAAGTTGGCTGGGGACCTCACTCTGATAGAAAAGCTCTATTTAGATGCTACTGGTCTCCATGGAAGGGGAAAGAAAACTCTGGAGGGCAATGAAATGCTCTGCTCGGAAGTGACACATAGCATTTGATACAACTAACTGACCAGCTGGTCACGTGGCCCTGGCCAAGCACAAGGAGGTTGGGATGTATAATCCTAACATGTGCACTTGAGCCAGAAATACCTGGTGAAAAGTAAAAATGACTACTACAGTCGTTCTGGTCACTAAATTTTCAACCCACTCTTGTCTCCTACAGAGACTACACGCCCCCTCTGTCCAGAATGGTTATAATGAAAGAACAAAATGAAGTGTTAGTGAGATTGTGGCAACCTGAACTCTCATACACTGCTGGCAGTGTAAAACGGTACAAACTGCTTTAGAAATAGGTCTTCATTGTCCTGAATAAATATTAATGAAATTGATGGGTTGTATGTTAAGCACGTAATTAATTTTATAAGAAATGTCAAACTATTTTCGAAAGACAAAGGTTCGCAGCAGCTTGCCTTATAATAGCGAAATCCTGGAAACAACCTGTACATCAGGAGGTGCATAGACAGATTGCAGGATACTCATATAATGGATTACTCAGCAATACATTCAAATTCTGGCAGTGTCCATTCTGTTTTGTCTGTTGCATTTTGTTTTCACAGTCATGTTTATTTCAAAGAATTTTAATCTCAAATTACTCTTTGCACAGCAGCTTGTTCTTACTCTATCAATACTATGCAATTTCATACTTGAGGATACAGTTGTGAAACTCTTATTCTTTCATTCATTTTTTTCAATACATCATTTGGTCGGCCTGCTTGGTCCCTCTAGCTGGCTCTTGATTCCCTGTGTCCAGTGACTGGTGTTTAATCTTTTTTTTTTTTTTCCTGTGTAGCGTCTGATTAACCCAGGCTACTAAATATCAGTTCTTTCAGAGATTTAAAGGTCTGGTGTGGGGACTAGTCAGCACTAGTCAGTGGACAAGTAAGGATAACTTCTTACTGTGAGCTGGTGCTGAGTGGGCCACCAAGTTATTTCCTCAAATTAAGACAGACAAATCAGACAGGTAGGCAGTAATGAGCTCTATCTTCAGGGTGTCCTGAAGAAGAACGGGGAAATGTTTCGTCCCTGGTGTGCAAAGAGAAATAGACAGTGGGCAAGTCAGAGCAGATCCCCAGCTCTTATAAGTAGGATCTATACTGAGATCCAAAGCTTTAAGCTTTATATAGGCAGGGCCCCTTTATGTTAGCCAAACTGTCACAGCAGGGTTGTAAGACAGCTAAGGGTGTTTTTGATTGCCAGCTGCCAAAAGATTACCTAATACCCTTAAACATACTAGCATGCACATATTTGTTCAATGAACCGTATTATTTAGAAGTGAGTTCTAAAACTAGAGGATCTGCCTACTCTAACTAGAAAAAAGAAAACTCCTACCCTTATGAAAGTGGCTGAGTGCTCAGCAATCAGTATAACTTACTAAATGTAATAGAATCCAGTAAAACCCTCAGCTTTCAAACTTATGCCCAAGAGACAACGAGACATTATGTACCACCCTCCTGAAGGATGACCACACCACTTATGAGGAAGTCTTGCCGCCCCCCCCCCCCAATTCAAGCCTGAATTTGGTCAGTCTTGAATTCTAACTACCAATTTATAGAAAATAAAGAGAAACAGGTTAAACTATACCACATGGTTATAATTGGCAAAATCTATTCTGTTTGAAAGGCTCCAGAACATTTCAAAATGCAAACTGTAAAAGGCAAAGGGAAAAAAAAAGATTAAGGGGATATACACAGATTAAAGATACTTACGAGACAGCAATTAGTAACAATGTAAAGTCCTTATTTGGATCCTGATTCAAACAAACTTAAATATCCATGTATGACATTTGAGACAATGGAAATTCAAACAAATATTTACTAGATTTGATGATATAATTAAAAAATTGTTTTACACGTGTGACAACATATTGTGGTTATGCTTTCTGAAAGTCTGTATCTTCTAGATACAAACTGAAATATTTATGTAAAAAAAAACTTGCAGTCTTTAGAAAAAAGTTTAAGAGTAATATAAAATTGTTTAGCTTTGGGACATTCTTGACACTTCTGAACATGTTAAGCTGTAATCACCTTTTTTTTCATAATCTATCATTTTATAGCAAAGTTAAAACAACATATAGCATAAATGTGGGAATTCCTTATTTCCCTAAAAAGTGGTAGAACAAATTCAAGTAGCTGAAACTGGAAGGTATTCTCTACCCTTCATGCAGCGATATGGCCAATGCCAGAGGAAATAAAATACTAGATGATGCAATTTAATGATTCATTTTCAATCTAATTTAAATTTGATTCTTCAAAATAAAAATGATTCTAATGTTTAAAACTAGCCCTAAGTGACAGTAGCTCCAATCACGGTGCTGTGTTTCCCAGAGCTGCTTTTGAGCTTAACTGAATGCAGGAAAAGCACTGAAACCAGTCTGGCTTATATTCAAATGTGAGAGTCTACATAGCCCAGAAGTAGATTGCCAGGTCTGGACTCAGATAGCCTGTTTACAGCACTGTTCTGGCACTTCCTTGCCCTATGAACTTTGGCCAGTTTCTTAACCTTCTGTGCCTTTGATATTCATCCATAAGAAGAGGATAAGAAATCCTGCCTATTAGGACTGTCAGTAGAATTAAATAAATACACATGAACAAACGCAAAGCAAATATTCAATAAATATTGGCTATATTTATGGCTCTGAATTCAGGGGAAGGAAAACTGATTCGATAATATTAAAAGTTTTATGAAAATTTAGTTTCAGAAACTAGAACTGTTTTAGAATATTCTCAGGTTTGTGAAATAAGTAGCACTGATTATGCTTAAATTGAACGTAAGACTTGGTTGTTATAAATAATAGTCACTTGGTTCTTAATTTGAAACTTTTCCCCCATTCAGTTAAAAAAACAACCCAAAAGATCAAACCCAGGGTGAAATCTGTCCCTTAGTGCTTAAGATTTCATACTAGTTCTCAATACCAAAAATTAAGAGTAAAAAATTGTGCAAAATGTTTCAGTAAAAACACACAATGAAATACTCTGGAAATGACTGATTCTTAAAAACACCTACAAATATAAGCCAGACAAATGTAAAAAAGTGAAACAAGATGAACTATTTTTCTGGTCATAAAATATTTATTAAGGTATATTTTAGGGAATATAGTGAATATAAAATTTAGGATCACAATATGAAGCAATTTCAATCCTCTCAAAAAGTCAGCCCAGTCCTCAATGCTCTGCAGATGTAAAACCACTGGTGAGACTCACTAAAAGCAGTTTGACTAGTACAGAAGAGGCTTTTCACATGAACATTTACAACTAGATCATCTGAATACCTCTTTTAAGTGCAAAACCACACCACATTACACTAATGCAGCAACAATGCATTCATATTGTTTTCATTAGTAGTCAGCTTGCATAAAACACCAGAAAAAAGCACAATGAAGCTCACAAAATTGGCTAAAAAAAATGAACCTGTCCTGCAAAACACACACTGTAATGGAAGAAGACATTAAAAATGTATTATGCACACTACAGAAGCTGCGTTCATTCCAACAATCTCAAGTGTCACTTCCTTTTCTGAAAATCAAATTACATGAACCAGGCACAACTAATATTTGGGAGGCAGTGTGTAGCTAAAATTTCATTTAACTAATTATTCAATGATTTAAAAAATCCCCATAAATCTTTTCTGTCCTGAGGTAGTTGCAAAATAAATCATAACTTGGATATCAACTAGAGCTGAGGCTTTGACTTTTTACTCATTAAAACTAGTTGTTAAACTGACAAGAACTACCTTTTGATATTTAAAAGACAGTTGAGAAATGGGCCTCTTACTACACACACAAGATGATGGCTACGTAGGAAAGAGGATTAGCTGCTTCAGAACGTGAGAGATATGGTCCACCATTGCTTCCACCACCCCCCCACCCCAACCATTTTAGATTCTTTATTGTCCAAAAAGCCACGGGGAGCAACACAGTAGAAGTAGACAAATCATCGTCCTTTGCTGTAGCCAGGGAAGAAAAGGTCAAGTAGAGTCTGCAGAACCTCATTGGGAATCATGATGTAATTCTGGCCAAGATCGTGCCGGCAAGCAGGGCAGGAGAACACTTGAGCCTTAAAGGAGCGCTGTAAGCAATCCTAAGGCAAAACCAGAACCAAAATGAAACAAAATAAAAAAACACCTCATTTCATCTGAGGGTAAAGCATATAGAAAGTACTCAACAACTTAGGCTTTTAAACAGAACTAGAAACTTACTGTTTGGCAACAAGAGAAACATAAAACAAGAACAACTGTCAAGGCCTGAATCTGCACTATGAAAATTAACCTACAGACGTGGCTTTAGTTCCACCTCTAACACATACTGTGAGACTTCAGGTAAATGACCACTTTTGTATATATTAATTTCCTCATCCAGTAAAAATGAATGTTAGAATTCTGCATGTTTCCACTAGCCTCACCTTCTAGGCTGGATTTTAATCCTGATCTTTCCTGATAGAGCACAAAAGAAAAACAACTCAGGAATCCCCTGCTTAAAACTATATCTATTTTATGAAGTCAATGTATAATGTGCTTTCCAAAAATATATTTAGCTCTACTTAACTGACTCAAGGTCACATACTAACACGTATGTGGAAGGTCGGTTTCCATTTTACAAAAGAAACTAAGTTCAGAAGTTAGGTCAGGGCACGTAACCACCAGTCAGTAGAACAAGATTCCAACCTTGGTTTGACTGAAATTCAAATTCCTTTTACACCACACTGATAAGACAATATTCAACTCCTCTGGGCATGCTGCCAGACAGAATCTGTTCTAGGTCCCCTCAAGTATACGAAATTATTTCAGTTTGCACTATAATATATGAAACATACGTAAGCTGTAACAGAAAATAGCAACAACACATTACTTTCTTCTCTATTTCAACCCCTCCTCAATAATTTCAAACATGATAGAATGTTGAGACTATACAGATTTGAATTACTATAGAATTAAAACATGGATTCACCACCAAGATGTAATTAAATGCTTCCTAACCAGCAAGGTTCCTTATCTATTCTGCTTCATGAAAAAAATGCTTGTTCACGTGCTGAAAAGAGGTTTGGAGGTTAGTGTGCCTTCTGGCCTAACAAGGGAAAATGAGAAAGGAGTTCTACTTACTTTACAGACATTGTGGAGGCAACCTGTTGTCACTGGCTGGTAAACTAGCTCCTGGCAGCAGACACACATAAAAGATTGTTCCAATTTTTTCAGAAAATTCTAGAATGGTACCCAAGGAGAAGAAAAAAAGGTTAGCATTTCATAATATATTAAAAGAATTCCAAATAATTGGAGAAAAAAGTGTCAATCCCATTCAGTATGTTTTCTATTAAGAAAAAAATCAAGTAGTGATTGTAACTACAAGCAAATGTGTAATAGCAAACTGCAGAAATCCCATCCATAAGATAGACACATTAGTTTTTAAATCTTAGGATTGAGTTGCAAAGGTTGCAAAGTCAGGACATATGGCTTTAAAAAGTAAACTTCATATTCCAGAGATTACTATTTTTCACTTAAAAAAATCATGAACAGCCTGTCTCAGGTCATTACATACAGATCTATTTTCAAAAAGCTCCATGGTATTCTAATATATCTATATATATTCAATCTTCTTCTCTTACAAAACTTCAATACTTATTTTTTATGCTTAAAAAGATAAAAGCACTTGGCAATAATACTCTAGTATCTAAGACCCCAAAGAATCAACGTATTTATTTACCTAGAATAATTTTCTGTGATATTTTGCCCCAATCCCCAAATCCCATATTTTCCTGGTGCTACTGTTTACTCAAATTAGGACTAAATTACAGAAGGTCGAGCTTTATAAAGCAAACATGATCAGATGGGTAGTCTATAATCTTCAAAAGCCATTACTGGGTTCCATCTTATCCAAGCTGTTTGTTTAACCTAGAAGGAAAAGTAGTTTTTTGAATAGTCACCAGGATAATCCTCCACTCAGTTATTTTTTGGTAGTAGGGGAGTATATTTTATGTTTGTTCTTTATGTTAATAAAAAAAGTAGAATCTACAGGAATTTCAAGTAAAAAAAAAAAAAAAACCCCGAAGATTCCATTTCATAGTTATGTCTTGATAGTAACTTATTTTTAAGCATGGATTATAAAGCTCAAATGAATTATCAATGAAGTGTTATTCAACACACTAGAAGAATATACCAGTTAGGGGGAGATGTGGAAAAAACTTAACTTTACTACCAGGTACCTTCTCTCTGACAAACTACTTTGTTAATGACTGATATTTCCCCAGTACCTCCACAGTGCCTGTAATATGAGCATATTTAGTATCAACATTTTGATTTCCTACAATGTGCCAGGCACTCATCTACATAGCAGTAGTAAAAAGGCCAAGTCTCTGCTCTCATGAACTTTATATTCCTCTAGGAGAGCAGATTTTTAAAAACTCAACTTCAGATAGTAGTATCTGAGGAAACAAGGCAAATTAAAGCAAGAGTAAGGAGGGTCTATTTTAGAAAGGATAGCCAGGGAAGGCCTCTCTGAGGAGTGTAGTATTTTGCAGAAACTTACAAGATATGAAGGAACCTCTTTTCACTTAAAAATTTTATCATTACCAAAAAAAAAGGAAAAAAATCCAAAACATATGAAATACTTAAATAAATGCTGGTTTATTTTACTCCTAGGTTGAACATGTGGGCATTGAAAATTATGCTGAATTGCTTAAGACTTGTTCTATCAGGTAACTTTGAGCTATAACAAAACTTTCCTGATGAATTTTAGATTAAACTGAATGTGTTCCACAACTGAAAATTCTTCCTATGAACAGCACCTCACCATAAATGATCAAGTTCAAGCACAGAGAGGTCAAAAAACCAACATCTAAGAGGACAAATATCAATTTAAAAGCATCAAGTGCTGCCTCATTTCTGAAAGGTGGCCGTACTGGGTGAGAAGATTGGATAAAAGGACCAAGTTTTAACTGACTTGTGAAAATGATAATTCATAGGGAAAATATTTTTCATCATTTGTTAATATTAGAAACTTATCAAAAAATATTTACATACTGGTCCTTCCACAAGAGATGCAAGAACTTCATCCCATAGCTTCTGGTTTTGATGATCTTCTCTGATTAGATGTTGTTGTTGAGGGGTTAGTTGGAAAGCCTCAACTGCTTCTGCTGAATCTGATGCTTTCGGTACTTTGGAGGCACTTGGACAATCATCTAGATTTATTTAAAAATACATCAGCACACTACAAGTGGTTCTAAGCAGAACTATGAAACGAAAGAGTAAACTGGCACCAATTATGTTTAGCATGAAGATAACCAGGGTAGAGCAGCATTTAACTTTCCCATATAGTTTAGGATACTTTGTTTAGGCTCTGACACTATTAAGATACACAAAAAGCTCACCCCACCCCACCCCCACCAAAAAAAAAAAACCCTTCATTTTTCTTTTAATTTCTTATGAGTTTTCAATTTACTCCCTTAATATTTCTCTTTATTAGAAACTATGTTATTCAGATTTATGTCCTGCAATCATTACCTACCATCTGTAGATGGCCTTTTTGGGGCTCCACTGGCCTTCTTTGACTGTCCTTTAGTCTTCTTCCCTTCCTTATCTGAAGGGTAACCTACTGGATACTGACGAGGGAAAAAAGTACAATGTAGATTTAAGCTTCACAGAGAAGAGGGGTTCTAGATCCTTGTCAGAAATTTAAAAAGGGGAATGGGGAGGAATCTATACTTTCCCTAAATTGAAAAGATTTATATAAAGGACACAGACGTTTAAAGAAACAGAATTCAAAGGACAGAAGACTATTAAAAATCCCCAATTCAGTGTAAAACCATGTAGCTTTGACTGTTAAAGATATTCCATTTTATCTTAGTTTCAGATCAGTGATGATCTTAGTTTCAGATCAAAAAGAGGAAAGAACTTTTTAGGAGTTGTGACTAGGGGGCTTAAAAAGTTTGAGAAAGAAAGGAAAGTAGAATTAGATATGAAGGTAAGTGAAGATCAACCAAAGAGCACAACAGATGATGCTCATATAGTTGGGGTTACACTAAGTTATGGAGCCAATCTTAAAAACAAAAAACCCCATGAAGGGCCAAATTTCTATCACCCCAAATTAAGAGGCAGGGGTGGGGTGGGGTGCGAGAGCTTTTAGAAGACCTAAAGCCACTAAATTACTGAATTCTTTATCAACTAAAAGGTTAGGCTTTAAGGGATAAATTCTACCTTATTACCCTTGTGTTTTATTGGCTATGCTTTCTTTTGGACATGCTTTGTGATAACACTCATATTTAAAGCTCAATATGTTATACAGGCCTCATCAATGATATTAACTCATCATAGCGACTGGCTTATATGCTTCGTTCTGCTCAACTGTTTCAAATTTAACCTATCTAGAACACTGCTCTGCTGAACAGCAGACCTGAAAAAAAAATCCTTTGAAAATGGATTTAACAATAGGTTTAAAAAATATTTAGTTAAAAAAGGAATTATTTTGACAGCTATTTTAGCAGCTGATGGGTCTCATTTAAACAATTCTATGAGTTTAAAAAGAAAACAAAAACAGAAACAGACTTGCACTAGAAGAGACACACTCACCTGCCTGGGTGGTCAGACACTTGCCCATAGTTCAGCCCCTACACATGCAGTGTGGGCAGAGCCAGGGGAAATGACAAAGCTGGTAGTCTTTACGAGAAGCACAGCGATGGGGAATGATGGAGGATGAACTCAAACCATGCTCTGAAGTCAGTGTCAGGGACAAAGTCTAGGGTGTATAGGCAGTGGAGGGGAAATGTAGCCATACCATCCATTATGTACAAAAAACCAACAAAGTCTTATATGGGTTAACAGCTGAGCATGGGCAAAGGGAAAAAAAAAAGGCAAAGCACTAAAGGTGGTGACAGGACAAGGAAGCAGCTTTGAGGGGGAAGAGAGAAAAGGGGTGAGGAAAAGTGAGAAGGGTAGAAAGCAGACCACTCTTATAAGCCACCTCCCCCCTTCCCCTACCAGAGACACACCCCCTGTGCCCTCTAGGATAAACTTCCCTTCTCAAGGCCTCTTACATCTAAATTTTAGGTATCCCTTTCCCTCATACTTCAAGTCCAGATTGAACTGGAAATACAGCTGACTCTTGAACAACACAGGGGGTTAGGGCGGGGCCAATCCTCTCAAGTTGAAAATCCCTGTGTAACTTATAGTTGGCTCTCCGCATCTGCAGATTCAACCAACCAGAGATATGTACTGAAATATTTGCTATTGAAAAAAATTCATGTATAACTGGACCCATGTAGTTCAAACCCATGGTGTTCAAGGGTCAACTGCATTTTACATTTCATTGTCAAGCCCAGCTTTCCCCAAGCACAATTCTTGGTCTTAGGGCAGTTTGACACCTAGGATGCTACTTTTTTACTTCTTTTCCTTCCGTATACTTGCATGATCTCATTCCTCACCCCTTACAGTCCACTGACCAACTGCTGTGGGTTATATCCAGTGTTAAGGCACATAGATAGTACAGAGGCATACGTTTTTATGAAAATACAAGTAGCCTAGACAAATGTAATCTAACCTGTAAACGTAGACATAGTCTCCTTGACCGTTCTATTCCTTCTGAGGTCCAAGGAGCAGGTTCAACATCATCTCTCCTTAAAAGATAGCGCCAAACCAAGAATCCATGGCTTGATGAAATCTCTGGCCAGTATTTCACCACCTAAATCGTAATATTTCAGTACTAGTTTGAAATGTAAAGTTTAGACTTATTTATAATATATTAGTGTTTTAAGTAAACTTGGCAGAACTAAATGCAACTTTGAAAGATACTTGCTCTGCTGTAATAGTAAGTAAAAAATATGCACTTAAATATTGTTTTGACCTTATTTCCTAATTATGATAATTCCCGTTAAGTATAGATTGCTATAAATTTGAAGTAGCAGCAAGATTATGCTCATTAATTAACAGAATTTTGCATAATAGTAGATAAAAATGGTGGCAGTAGATGTCTTCATTTTTAAAACAAAGAATGCAACCTATTTTCAAAATTATGTGCTCCGCTTCGAAAAATCTATTAAAATTAGAATCATTCTGGAAGATATAAGAATCAATATCTACAACGGCCAAGTTATTTGAACAGTTTTATCATAAGAGAATATATACTTGTAAAAAAAACTTAACCCAAAATATAACTCTGCCTTTAGGGACTTCAGATAAGCCTTAAAAGACAAGTGTCAAAATTAAGAGATCGTTTTGTACGTGTTGTATTTCCAGAAAAAGTAGAAAGACCAACCAAGATGATCTATTGTTTCCTTTAGCCCACCCACAGTAGAGCAGTTCCCTGTGGCAACCCTGTCTTGAGAGCCCAGGAAGAATGACTAACAAGATGTCATGCCAGATAGAGCACCTTATAAATGCCATCATATCTGTTGCCTTCTTCAGGAGCATATTTGCTGATCTTCCTCCCTTTAAAACTGCGTATCACTCTGACTGGCTTACCAGCTCTCCAATTCCGAGACTCTGCTCCAATTTTATCATCCAATGGAGCATCACAGTTTAGGGCCAATGCCCTAAAAAATAAAACAAAGTCTTTATACCAAGTAATCTTTCTTCAAGTATATAATCGCATCATTAGCTCAATTAAAAGGTGAATTATGCCTTACCTGATGGTTAAGATTCTATGATTCTTTCCATATTATTCCAGATAATAGGATTATGCTTTCCCCCACCAGCAGAGAAGACAAATCAGTTTTCTGATGTCACCCCCAAGCCAGGGGATTGGTTCTCAGATAGCCTGTAGGGTTCTTCTGAAAGTAATAACATCTGTGCCACGTATAATAGAAAACAACTAGAAATACATGGAATTTTCTTTAAATAACGTTTGTTGAGGGAAGGGAGAAAGTTGGAAAACTAAAGCAAGTGATTGTTGTAATAGTTATTTTTGATAAGGGAATGAGGTAAATTGCTGGAAAAATGTAGAAAGAAATCCAGAAAAATAAATTTGTCAGCAAGGTATGAATGACCTTTCTAGGTCTACTTTCCACATTCCAGACAATAGAGATTCCTTAAAGTTTAGAATAAGAACAAGTTTAATATGAGAATATCCTTTAAAGACTTCCAGTAAAAAGGTAAGTGTAAATAAAACTGAAGCATTCAAATACCTGTGCTAAATCATGACAATAAAGATTTTTGGCTGCTCAAGATCACTACATTTTACTGATGACACATGAACAAGGAAGAACACTGAGCTGGAAGCAGCACTGGATTTAGCTGAAGCTTCCTTAGTATGTGTACTCACCTAGTAGTAATTAATCAGTAAGGTTAATAGACGTTAGAAGACCTTCCTTGGGGAAACTTAGTCCTGCTCCCCAAAAGACAAACTAGAATGTATTTAAAGTTAGTATTTTTCCTCTAAGACACCTATATCCTAAGTGAAAAGAATCCACTAAGAACATTTAAGGTTAAAAAAAAGATACCCTCCCCTCAAATCTGGTAAAATCAGATATGATACAACATGCTTTTTCAGGGTATAGTTCTTTTTATGCAAGCTCAAAAACAAACAAAAAAAACCCCAAACAAAAGACCTTAAGACTAAATGACTAATCTACTACAATCTTTCTATCATAGTTAAAGTAAATGAAATTAAGTGTTTTGTTAAAACATTTTTTTAATAGACATGGTCAGAGAGTTAAAGGTCACCAAGTTATCTTTTTTATCTCAAATGGGAGATGAATTAAAACTCTGAGGTAGAAGAAAATGCAGCCATCAATTCTAGGGCTGGTATTATTTATGGAATGCCTATTGAGATACATATACTTCATCCTCTTAAAGAGCTAAGAAAGAGATATGTACTATCTTCACATTAATGAGTGGAATGCTTTGGTGCTCACAGGTACCTTCCATCATAATGACTGCACCATTAATTGGAATTAACTCACTTCTAGTTTCACCTAAGTATGCAGTCTATTCAAGTTTGTGTAAAGAGTCCAAGAGGATGAAACTAGGCAAAACAAGGCTTTTCCATTATTCTATCCACAGCTCAATCGATTGCCTCTAACCGCCCTGATAAAGGATGGCCAGGTTACCTGCTGCCCTCTTCAGTTTCATAAAGTGGAAGAGCTGAGAAGAAACAGGAACAAACTTCTCAAAAGCAAAAAGCAGGTATCAAACTACCTCTTAGTAGAGAAACAAAAAAGGAATTAGACCATATACACGTCAGGAAAGAGTATACTATGGGTCAGAGCTTTCACCTCAGCTTTCGTGTTTATAAAACATATAGGTACCTTTGCCTAAGAGGCCTTTACAATCACAAGGTGTACTCACAGCTTCATGTATAAATTACCTGAAGGAATGTTAGTCTCCGTGATAAGTCAATCCTAAATTGTTTTGAGTTTCTATTTCATTTTCACTACCTTCCTTATTAATATAAACATTTTTACTACTTGTCAATTATTTTCTGAGATTGTGACATATGATAAACAGGGTATATTTATTAGATTCTTCAAAAGCTTGACAAGAATCTATCATGTACATTACAAGTGCAGGTAGTTACAAAGGAAGTTTCATTCAAGCCAAATAATCTTATTATTAAAGGGAAAATATAATTTTCAGATTTGACAACATGAAAAAGCCCTTTTGCAAATTCAAGATACATTTTCATTGACAATACACATCGAAATATTTCTAATCCCTTTTAAGATCATTCTTCCTAAAGAGTTGCTTTCTTGTTAGAAAAAGACTGCGTAGGGGCTGGACTCCTACCTCAGCAATGTTTCACCAGCAAATCTGACCTGTCTCCTCTGCTGGTTCAATAAAATAATCCTACTGTCAGAAATAATATAGAAGGAAGACATAAAAACAGATTCTATGTAACTTGGTATGCAACAAAGTCTTGAAATCATAAAGTATATTCTTTACTTCACATGGTGATCAGAAATTAAGGACACACTACTTAAAACTGAGTGATTTAGACTCAGGAAAGCGAAAAATACTCACTTTTACTCAGTATTCCACAAAATACCCTTAATAACAGGATACAAAAAATTTCAACTTCATGATCACAAAATTATCAGTATGACAGGTTATAATGTGGTCATTGGTATCTGATGGTTTGGGTTACTTAATTATTGGTATTAGCATGCATTTACAAAATAAAACATTTTGAAGTTATTAAATTTTCTATTCCCATGGAAGCTGGAATATCATGAATATTTTTATAGAATAAAGTCAGCACAAGGTGGCTCTTTTGTACCTAAACATTCTCTTTTTTAACAGATAAAAGACATTTTATCATAAATCCTAAAAGCACCTTGTGTAGTTCTGATTAAGTTATCTGATGTTTCACTTATGCACATAAATGTGACTCCCAAACATAACCCTATTTCACATTAGTCTTCTCTAAAAAGAAGTTTGTCACTTTAAAAGATAAATCTGTGTTTAGTAGAACATAACTTTGACCTATGTGGTAGTAGATAAGCCACCTTGTACTCAATTTCATTAAATTATATAGGTTCCTTTCCTTTAAAGGTTTCAACATGTTTCCAAATGCAAAGCACATGTATTAAGACTGGGAATTATGTCATTTTAAAAAATGATACTAAGAAATAAGTTAGGAAGCTTATAAGTAATTATATACTAATCAGGTAATAGGATTTATATTTTAGCTATATTAACTCACAATTTAAGATTCTCCTCTACAGTGTAAGTTATAAGTTATAGTCCTATAATCCAACTTTTACACAAAGCCCAAATTCTTAACAGTCTTTACAAACTAACAATATAGAGTACCTGTTCATGTTTGTTAATGTTTGATCAGCCGATGGTGCACCAATTCTTTTATTACCAGCAAGATTTTTACCACCACTCCCAGTGTATGTGAATTCATCACCTCGGTCCTGCAGGAGAACATTTTTGGCATTAAAACACCTAAACCCAGGTATAATTCACCAATTCTTGTTTCAGAGTCAGAACTTTTGGTTCGGACGTTGTAAATTGACATGTTCTCTCAAGGTATCTATCTACCAAAACAAGGCAAAATTAAAATGCAATCTTGTGTGTAATATACCTTCAAGCTGTATCACTTGATCTAAAGATTTCATTTTAAAGTTATAGCTTCCAACACCTCCAAACATAGCTATTCTTATACAAGTAATTTATAGAATGTTACAAAATAAGGTCTTATGGGTTGGGAATATTGTTTAGTTTAATTCAATGTTATTAAAATCAACTTATCAATATTAATTTGTAGGTTCTTTACAGGGCACCATTTTAATAAATACTCCAAAACTGATTTCCCAACAGCAATCTATACCATATCCAAGGCTTTTTTTTTTTTTAAACATCTTTATTGGAGTATAATTGCTTTACAGTGGTGTGTTAGTTTCTGCTTTATAACAAAGTGAATCACCATATCCAAGTTTGCTGCTAAATTTCAAACTTAAAAATCGTTACAGCATTGTAAGTTCCCCACATTTTACAGTCCATGGGTTTAGTCACATTATATTGGCATAAAACAATTATCTATCATTAAGAAGAAAGTTAGAAAAGAATTTGAATACTAAAAGTTGTATAGCATCTACTAAATGTGAAAAAAACACGCCCAAAGAAGATATTAAAAACTAGCTCCACGAGTAGCTACAAATTTATCTTGCTATTGTTTTTGCCTGATTCAGTACTTAAACCGAGAAAAGTAACTATCAGTATGTAAATTAATTCTACTAACACTATCTCAATAGTGGTTCTTCTTCAATGCAAGATTATTTTAAGTAGTTCAGACTGAACTTAAGATAATGAAGTTTTCTCTACTTAATTCTTGCTTGTAATAAAGGTCAATTATTTTGCATCTAGTTTTTCCTTTGATTAAAAGTCATAACTAAAATCTCATGGTTTTAAGTGTTTCTATATGCCCTAAAACCTTCATTCAATTCACTTTGTTGACCCACAATTGAGGTCTATATTTTAAAGAATAAGGTGTTAAGGAATTTCATCTTCAGTGTATACTCCATTTGAAGGAATTCTAATAAATAAGTACATCTAAAACAGTCCAGAATACTTCTTAAATTGATCAGATACAGTCTTCCAAATGGTATCTGGATTGACTTCACAATGCTCATATATTTATAACCTTGTCGACTTTTAAAGTTGTAACTGTGGTAGTGCTATAAAGGAAAAAGTAGTGTGAACTAGGTAGGAGAGAGCATAATAGGGACAACCTAAGTTCAACAGTGTTTGAAACATAAGAACAAAAACATTTCTGATTATTCTTCAAGCAGCAAATAATCATGTAAAAATAGTTAAATTCTATGTCATTAACTCATCTATGCTTGAATTCATCATTATACCATGAAAGCACGCGGATGAAACAGACTGGGAGAAAATACCTGCAAACTACACATCCAATGAACAGTAAAAACAAACAAAACCCACAACCCAATTAGAAAATGGGCAAAAGACCTGAAGAGCTACACCACCCAAGAGGATATACACATAGCAAATAAATAAATCATGTCCAACACTCTTAGCCATTAGGGAAATGTCAACTAAAACTACAATGAGCTATATCTACGTACCTATCAGAATGGCTAAAAGAAAGCAACAACGCTGAATGCTGGTGAGGATGCAGAGAAACTGAATCACTCATACACTGCTGATAAGAACAAGAAGTGGTACAGTCACTCTGGAAAATACTTCAGCAGTTTCTTTTTTTCCATCTTTTTTTTTTTTTGGCAGTTTCTTAAAGAACTAATCATGCAACTACCATACAACCCAGCAATTACACTTCTGGGCATTTATCCCAAAGAAATGAAAAATGAACACTCATTATTTACAAAAAAACCTGTACACAATTTTTAATGCAGCATTATTTGCTGGAAATAACCAAGATGTTCTTCAATGGGTGAATGGTTGTACTGTGGTACACCTATATCCATGGAACACTACTCAGCAATAAAAGGGAATGAACTATTGACACATGCCACAATTTGAGGATTATGCTGAGTGAAAAAAAGCCAATCCCAAAGGTTATACACTATATGATTTCATTTATAAAAATTTTTGAAGTGACAAAATTATAGAAACAGAGAACAGATTGGTGGTTGTCTGGGGTTAAGGGGGGTTGGGGGAGCAGATATAGTATGGTGGCTAAAGAAGGGCAACATGAGGGATCCTTGTGGTAAGGGAAATGTTCAGTGCCCTGAATGTATCAATGTCAGTATCCTGGTTGTGATATTAAACTACAGTTTTGCAAGATGTTACCACTGGCTGAACCTGAATAAAGGGCAAAGACATCTCTGTATTATTTCTAATGCTACATGTCAATCGACAATTATTAAAAATGTAAATGAAAAAAAAGATGACAAAAATGTAAATGAGTCCAAAATTAAAAATGAGCTCTAAAGAAAATGTGACTATTTTCACTGCAATAATCAGTACACACAAAGATTAAAGACTGCCAATTGATTTACTTTTTAACTGGTAAAAAACTGACTACTTCAACATAAAAACGATGCTAAAAGAGATGGGATTTATCCTGGACAAAGCTTCTGTATTTTACTGAATGATCAGAACAGGTTCTAAAGAACAAGTTTGTATCATGACTTACTACTTCATCCGCAAATCCACCAGCCAGGACAAGAGAGTAAGCTCCATCATTACTTCGACCATGAATTCCACCAACATGGGGCCTATGGACACCCGCTTCGCTCACCTATAACATCAAGACAGACGCAAAATACCTTTGAACAGTTCGTTAAGTTACATTTACAAAATGGTTTCACATATGTTATTGTATCCTAAAAGCTTCAACTAAGAACTGAATATCACACAGAATTCTAAGTTTTGCTCACAGACTACTTCTCCCCAACTATATATCCTTCAGGTACTGAACTGATAACTCTTAAAACTGCTCAGGCCTAGAACTGTGTTTCAAAATAACTATTAAATAATTATTATCCTATGTCTATTGGTAATTCCAGCTCAGTTTGGGCAAAAAATAATTTACTATAAGTGCTCTAGATCTCTTTTTTTCTCATTTCTCATCTTTCATTATGGTCCTGTTCCCTAGCCAAGTCAAAAAGGCAAGAGTCATTTCAGCCTCATTCTTCTGTATTCTTCAAACCCATCTGGTCGCAAATATTGCTGATTTGATCGCCTAAATCTCTCAAAACCATCTTTTTCTACTTTCACTGATATAAGCCTAGTTTGAGTATGAATACTTAAAACATACCCTTTTTCACTGCCTCCAGCAGTTTTGTTCCTTCAAACTCATTCTACCTATCACAAACAGAATGATCCTTTTAAGAACATATCTGCTTTTAATTTCCAACTGCTTAACATGTATTAAACAGTCTTAATAGTATATTAAGCCCAAGTTAAGTATTACATATTACCCTCTCTCAACCAGGCTCCTATCTACTTTCCCAGCCTTATCTTCAGCTTCTCCATTATGGAGCCTATACATCTGAGCCCAACTACTCAATGATAAATATACTACCCATTTTCAGTTTATTCATGCAATTCTTCTATTTCAATGGCCTACTACTTTTCCCCATGTATCTTCAATGCTGGCTCACTTAAACTTAAGTGTCACTTCTTTGTGTACTTCAAACTCCCTAAGAGAAGTATTCTAATTCATTTGTTTATCACACAACTGTTCTTAGCAGAGTAAATCCAAGCCTGTATAGTGGGCTAGGTAAAGAGGCACATTAGAAGTTGATGAGAAGCTGATAAGAGCAACAGAACCTGGATTTAGGCCTTGGAAACACTTAGGTACTTTAGAGCATAGGACCATTTGATTCCCAACCTCACCAACCCCGATAATAAATCATGCTGAACCTTCCCTACTTCCTAAACTGCAAATCTGTCCTCCTAAATGCTTAGGCCAATGACCTCAGTCATCTTACACCATTATTAACGAGGCTTTTACAATCTGGGAATGAATGACAGGCATATAAAAAAAAGAAGCAAACAAAGAACAAGGCAATTAAAAATACACTAAGTGTATTTTATTATAATGTTTATTTCATATATAAATATTATAAATAATACATAGTATAAAAAATAAATCTTATTTATTATTGTACAGGCATACCTCAGAGATATTTCAGGTTTGGTTCCAAGACCACTACAATAAAGTAAATATTGCAATAAAGCGAGTCGCACAAATTTTCTGGCTTCCCAGTACATATAAAAGTCATATTTACACTATACTGTAGTCTTAAGTGTATGACAGCATTATGTCTAAAAAACGTACACACCTTAATTAAAAAATAATGCTGTCGGAAAAATGGCGCCTATCGACTTGCTTGACACAGGGTTGCCAAAAAGCTTCAATTTGTAAAAAACACAGTATTTGTGAAGTACAATGAAGCAAAGCACAATGCAATGAGGTACGCCTGAACTCAGTTTTTTTTTTTTTTTACTGTACTTATAGATCCAAAGTCATAATATAAGCCTTGAAAATTGATTTATTCAAAATTATGATATAACCATTGCAAGGATGACAGGACAGAGTGTGTTAAACTAAATTCTTGTCTTCCATTGAAAGAGATTAATAAAACCAAAATATAAAGACAAAAGCCACACAAACATGTTATTTATAAATAAGGAGGTAAATTCAGAAAAAGTAACTTTAAAGTGATTGCCTCTTAGAAACAGAAAATGGTGAAAAAAGATGGTAGGTTTTTAAAATATAAATCATACCCTAGTATTTAACTTTCCATGCTATGTATATGTATTACATTATTTTAATCTTAAAATTTTTATCAATGGTCTAAGCACCAGGGCTATTCGACTCTTAAAGTTCAGAATCCTGTCTAATTGGAAACTGCTCTTTACCTAAGATATTCTTTTTTCCACATTAAATTTTCCATAACGAAAAAATTACCTTTCTAAAGAAGAAATTAGAAAAATACAAGAGTTTTCTTCAAGAGGAAAAGAGAAGTAATTTAATCCTTGGATTATCTGACATTTCCTCTAACCAATATCTTAACATTCATTCAAGAGGATAATCCCCAAAGAAAACACCCTAAGTGAGCTTCCTTGCAGATCAATGACATTAAATGAGAACTTACTGCATGACTTAAAGATCTATTTCAAATATTAAATTCTTGGCAAGAAAAGTTCTTCAGAACAACTTAATAACTTTAACTACCATAACTATAACAGAATAGTAAAACGAAGTGATTCAAAGGCTTAGAGGAAGCCTAATTCCATGATGTGTGCTCCTCTGTCTGCTAAGCTATGAGCAAGAGTCTACCCATCCTACAGGAAATCTTTCATTCTAACAACTGAATGCCATGTGATACTACCTAGGTTAGTCCATTTAGAATCAATCGACACTAACACTGCTACAATTTGAACTATACCCAATTTTACCCTTTCAACTAAGCCAATTTAAAACATACCTGAACTCTAAATCTCCAAGTCGATCCAACAGGAATTCCAGGAATAGGTCCATAATGATTAGAAGGAACAATAGTACATTCTCTAGTGCGACCAACACAGGCCATTCCCTACAAGGTACCGAACAAACTGAGAAATCAGTTATGTTAAATCTTAAAGAAAGCCCTTAATTCCCATAAAATGTGGATAAAATAAAAACAATTTATATGATTAATATTTAACAATTTATATGATTAATCAATATAGTTATTTGTTAATATTTCAGATTCTTAACATCATTTATACCATTACTACTATTGGAACTGAAACACTGTAACTTGCGTCACAGTTATAAACATTATAACTAGGAAGAAAAAGAAACTTCCTTCTTTACCCTGCCCCAGTCTCTTCGGCTTTCAGTACTAGCTGATGGCATCTTTGCTTTCTTTTTACTCATCTTGAGTCTTTCACCAGCCTTTACAACTTCACTAGAATCAGTTTTACAGGAAGGACAATACCTTAAAAAAAAAGAAGAAAAGGAATTTTGATAATATTATATTAAAGCCAATAACAGAATGGCCTTTCTAGGTTAGAACAAGTTTTAAGATGTAATACTTGGTGTATATTACAGTTTCAGTTAGCATTTCAGTATTAAGCTTTTCAAAATATTTACATGATTAAGCTCACCGAAAAAAACTTGTCATTCTTTTAGAGAACTTAAAATATTTTATTATCAAATTCTCAAATGCAGTGCAAAAGCCAAACAAGGCTGTCCAATTTAAATGGCACCATAAACTGTGATCTTATCACTAATCCTCAGAGTAGAAATTATTCATTTGGAGTTTTTATCATTAAAGCAAAAGTGGTAAGAATAGATGATTCTAGACTGAACAATGATCCATGCAACTGATACATCTCCCCGTCTAAATTGGTTATTAGAATTCTCAGATTCAAAAATGTATATAGTCTAATTGCAGGCATAATGAAATGTGATTGATATGTGCGTGCTGAACGGGTGTCCTGTCACCTTGCTAAAATCACATATTACCTCCAGAAAGCTTTCTGTAGATATGATTTTTCTAATTAGAGAATATTGCTGCAAATAAAATGTCCCCTCCCAAAAAAGTATAGTTTATTATAACAAGTACACTGGATTCAAGGATGCTTGCTTATATTAGCTTTATCTCTAGTTCAATTTCAATTCTCTATACTTGTTTGTCCTTTAGTCTATCTGTAGTTGGTCATTCTACTGTAACTTGTACACCATTATAATCCGTCTTATATCATTTCAAAAAGCAAAGCATAAGTATGTCTATAGAATGAGATGGGACTATTCTTGAGTCACCAAGAAATGGAAACTTTGAGTATATCCAAAGATCAACTGGCCACTCCCCCATTAGTCTTAGATTTCTTTTTCTATACCTCCCATTTTATAATGATCTATGCCATGTGGCCTACAGAGTAAAGAAAATGACACCTGTACCCACTAGTTAATTTTGACTGCCTAATTATGAGACATGTAAACAATTCGGTCCCTGAGAAAATTAGTAGGGCAGTGAGATACAGAAACAAATTCAAGGTAAAATTATGTATGATACGGCAATAAATACTATCAAGTAAAATCCCTACTAATTTGGAAATCAGGAAGGCTTCCAAAAATTAATTTGTTGTAAGAAAGATTGTATTCTACCTGATGTGCTAACCCTATAACTATAATTTTATCAAAGATCTTACGGTGAAAGCAGATATTATCTCTGATGAGAAAATGAGTTCAGAGGTTAAATATCTAGACAACATGATTTGGAGAAGTGGAAAAGAAGATTTAAGGTTAAGGAATTCCAGGTAAAGTGAAGGACCTCGACATGAATGTAGAAATACTCCACAGAGTAATCTAAGACAGTCTTCTAGTTATAGTCATCCCTGGGATCCATCTTTTCATCAGGTTTGTTAAGAACCCAGGCACTATTTTGGCACTGGGTAGGGATAAATGTTTGTGATCAAAATATTTGTAAACAGTTAAGGAAAACTAGTACATACAATGAAACAATTTCAGAAAGTGGTAAATGCTATAAAGGAAATACATCAGGGTTATGTGGGTGGTAATAGTGATTAGAAATGTTATGTGTCTTTAGATACAATAGTTAAACCTTCTGAGGTGGCATTCCAGCTGAGATTCCTATCAAGAAGCCAGGTAAGACATTCCAGGCAAAGAGGCGTTAAATGTAAAGGTCCTGAGGCATAGTAAGGAATGGTACGTTCTGAAGAACATAAAAGTAGTCGGGGGCAGGTCATAGATGGCAAGGGATGAGATTTTATCCTAAATGCAACAGGAAGACATTAGGGGGTTTTAAACAGGTGAGTAACCTGATTCAGGACTTAGATCATTCTGCTGCTGTGGCAAGAAGGATAGCTGGTAGACAATGTGAAAGCAAGACTAGTTAGTCATTTACTATACAGTTCAGGGTAGAGACAGTGGTTTGAACTGGGTGGTGAGAGTAGAGAAACATTATGGAGAACTGTAAGATTTGCTCATGTGTTATTGGATGTGAGTGGGGAGAAGAGAGAATCAAAATTGTGTTTAGCTTTTTGGCCCTCAACAAGTGGATGAGATGATCGCATTACCTACTGGAAATTAGGTGAGGAGTGGGATTTTAGGGGACACGTTTGTGGAAATCAAGATCTCTATTTGGACTCACTAGTTTTGTGATACTAGTGAAGCAAGCAGTTGAATATAAGGAATATAAAGCTCAGGGAAGACTAGATCTGAAAATATAAATTCCAAGCTTTTTGCTTGGTATTTAAAGTCTCATGATTACATGAGGTCATCTAGGGAGCAAGATGAAGAGAGAAAACATGGGTAGTGCTCTGGGAAACTCTGAAATGTGGTAGATGAGAGAAAACCAACAAGAGACCAAGGAAAGGCCGGTGAAGCTGGAAGAAAATGAGATTAGATGATATCATACCAACTACAAAAACAGAGTTAGCAGGTAAGCAGGACAGTAAGGAGAGGACTCAGAAGTGACCCTTGGGTTTGGCAACATAAAATGTGTAAGTCTAATATAAGCAGATATAGTTGAGTAGTGAGAGGGAAGGTCAGACTGGAGTGCTGGGGTATGGACAGGAGGAGAGCAAATGGAAATAATCAGTGGAGACAGCTCTGAGAAGCAAGGAAGTGGGCAGCTTTCTCCCACAATACAAAGGTGGGAGAAATGGGACCTAGGAAAGAGCGTGTATGTGCATGTGTTGTGAAAACAAAGAGATTCTAGGATACTAATGAGAATAACCCAGTAATGGCAATTCAGGAGAGGAATTAACTGCAAGAGTGAAGTTCCTCAAAATGCAAAAGGATACGAAACTGAGAGCAGGAAGAAAGGTTCGCGTTTAGTGAAGCAACACATCGTCCACAGAAACAAAGAGGAAGAAGCACATGAGACTTCAGAGGAAATATAATTACTGGTGATGGTAAAATACAGGGTGTGACCATGCAAAGTAGCGGCAGAGGGTTAAAGGAAGTTGTATCCTTTTTCTTCTTCCCCACCCCTACACAGCCTCTGCTGTAACACAACAACCTTCCCAACAGGTGGGGAGAGACCAAAGGAATGGAGAACAATCTATTCTTCACAATGATATCAGCTATGTAATGGTCATGTTAGTTATTTCTGAGTACAGCCTGTCATCTCTTTAACTTAATCCTCCATGCTAACAACATGAACCGTAGTCTAAAAAGAAAAAACTTCCTAATATGACATCTTAAGAAGCGTATTATAACTTTAACTGGGAACATTTTCCCCCAGTCTCTTTTCTAATCCTTTCTCTTTGTAGCTAACACTACTCAGTAGAAGTATAGATTTTGGCAAGTATATTTGACCTTGGTGCCTGGTTCTACTATTAACCTCATATGATTAAGTATGATAATCCATACAAAGCACTTTATTAGTGTCTTGCATGTACGAAGCACATAACTGTTAAGTACCATTATAAAACATTCAATAGGCACATCTAAAATAACTGAGGGGTAGAGGGAACCATCTACAAAGGCTTCCCAGTTGAAGTCATACTTAAGTGAAAACCTAAAGGATGAGTATCATCCTGAAGTTACGCAAAGAAGAAATGTTTCCAAGAAGAAAATGCATCAAGTGTAAACCCAGAGAAGATAGGGAACATGACTTATTTAAGAAGCTAAAAGATATTTAATCTGGCTAGGGTATAGAGTATTTGGGGAAATAAAAGAGGAAAGTGGTAAGGGATACAGTGGGAGAAATCAACTAAAAAACACTGTGCAGGGCCCTGTACAGTAACATAAAGCCTCTGAAGCAAAGGAGTAACTATCAAATTTGCATTTTTGAAAGAACACAGGACTCATATTGGAGAAGGGACTGGAGGGATTAAAAAATGGAGCGAGAGACTGGGTCAGAAGCTGTTGTTATAACTGAATAAAGGTATCAATGCCAAATAACCATTAGTTATACAATTTTAAGCCCTTTAATATACACTATGTAGGCCGCTCTCGCCTTCTGAGATGGACCGCATTCTGCCTACAGAATGTTTATCTCTCTCAATAAATCTACCTCTTACCTATCAAAAATATATATACACGATGTATCTTTAGAAATCTACTTTTGGTGTTTCAAAGACACATTTCACATTCAATTCTTAACACAGTAGCAACAAAAATCCCCTGATAATCATACCAGTATTCCTCTTCAGGGACCTTATCCAAAGGAGGATTCAGGCAGTAAATATGATAGGCCATGTTACATTCATCACATAGAACTTGCATGTTGGGTTCCTGTTTTCCACCACATATACGACAGGAGCAAGAACGGCATTTCTTATTTGGGTCTCCACCACAAAAGTCACATTCAGGGTCATTTTTCCCTATTAAGAACAAAATTATAGCAAGCCTAGTCTTAAAATCATTTTTATCTCTATGAACCTTATAAAGAAAAACCCATGAGAATAACATGCAGCTTTTTTAACAAAGAGAAAAGAACCATAAGAAATAATCCAGTATAGTACTTTAAAGTTCCCCAAATGTGCATCGAGATGCCTAGGGGCAATGCAGTGAACTCATGGGGCACCGTAAGATATATTAAAATTTCAAGCAAAATACAATACTTGAACAAAGTTGTTTGGATTTAACTATGTAATAAACGAAACTATTATGTAACACCTATTCTGCAGATCCAAACCTTTCCTTGTGGACTGAACTAGGAGGGGTACGGCTATTAGAAGTTAGCAAACCCATTTTGGTTTTGCTATGCCCCCAATATACTCTTTATTAGTAACAGTATCTAACAGTTCATTTATTTTTTTTATCTTACTTGTCAACTGGTTCAGAACTCTGGCAACTAACAGGTTCCGCTTATTGCCCCCCCACCTCCCCCAACCCACCAGCCTCCCCCATCTAAACCCAAACACCTTCTGCCAAAATATTCACTTGAAATTATAAAATATACATATATACACAGAAATCTTATAGTAATGCTCACTAATACCAAAAGTAAAATTTAAATGTCAAAAGAGTTAACAGCTGGACAGATTTTGTGTAAAATGAGGTAAGTTTATAAGAACTATAATACAGAGGTAGCCAAATATGTTAAATTCAAAAAGGAAATTGCAGAATAAATTTTTTACACAAAATTAACTGTATAGATACACAAAGATGAATTAGATAGATACAGAAAGAAGTCTAGAATGACATATATTGTTAGAGTGATTACCTCTTGGGAGTTCTATAATTTATATAGTTCTCTGAATTTCTTACAAACGCACACAAAAAATTCGCGAGGAATTTACCATATCAGAGCTGATTGTTCAATAAGAGAAACAGGGAAGAAGTACTTGACAAATAAGAGACGGGGAAAGAAAATTGCCACTGATTTCAGTACTAACTTTCTGACTGATCACACTGCCTATTCTTGCTAATGAATGGAAGGTTACAATTTGGTTTCACTTCCACTAAGGTAGCTGTGACAACATATAAGTAATGGAAATTTCACAGACCTAAAATACCAAAGGTATGTTTAGATTTTTGGTTTGGAGAATGATCTGGTCAATGGCAATCTGGCTGTGAAATGGTTTCTTTACACAGAAGTTCAAAGCTGTAGCTATAACATGATTAGCATTAGACAGAGGAAAGAACATATATATGCAGATACACTGAGAGAGAAAACACAAGAAAAACCTGGTCAATCTTCTTTTTCTATTGTGTTTTACTGAGAGCAAGTAAGTCACATTAAATAAGTTTACTCATCAAGTTTACCTTTATTCCTAGAATATAACCATACAGTCATATAAGCCATAGAAGCAGTCATAAACCACAGAAACAGTCATACACAGTATGCCTTAAGGTTCTTAATTCACGTAGATGTATTAGCATCACAGCCTCAAAAAATGAGTATGGCTTAGACCAGTAACATGGAAATCTTATTTATTGATCTGTTAAAGGTCTTGTCTTGTTCTAATCTTGCACAACTGTGGTAAGAAGAGGTTAGGCAGAACTATTTAATCTTGAATATTTCTTTTCCCAGAATATACTAGACATTGACACACAGCATAAAGTCAATGAATTGTTGTTCTCCAGAAAAAAAATCAGAATTGACAGAGTATGAGACACTGTAACCTATTTGTAAAGATAGTTGACTGAACCATGAATGAAAAGACTTAGAATCTAGTCTGCCTCTGTTACCAACTAGCTACATGATATTAAGTAAAATATATGCAAAGAAGAGATAAGGCTACACTCTAACATCCTAACGATGACATAAACCTCATTCACTACCTCCCAGAAATTCAGGGCTCAACCAGCATTATTCTTCTTAGGCTCTACTAGTATAAAAATAAGTCTCACTATTCAAAATTAATCTTAAATGGCCACAACATTACCAAAGTGGGTTTTTAATCTGGACAGACTCTATAATAAAGGAAACAGCAAGAAAATGGCAATAAAATGCCAAGATGAGAAAATATTTTTTGAAGACAAATCTTATCATTTGAGGAAAATCCATTAAACCAAAATAGATCTTACATCAAAATGGTTGTCTTGAAAATAAATTTGTATGGTCTACAATTTTATGCTTTCTCAAAAGTTATTCCCTGGCCAGTTAAAATGGCAATCATGAACAATAAATGCAGTCTCAGCCCGTAAGAAAAATCCATACTTAAAAACTTTCCATCTGCCAATGAAAGAGGATGGGCTCCAGGTTTCTCGATCTTGAAGATTTCATTTATGAATCTTATCTGACAGTCATTTAATTTTCCTTCAGAACCCCTGTTTAAAAAAGGAAGAAAGGTTAACCTCTGCCAGCAAAATCTAAATCACACACAAATAGTAATTAAAAGTCAGTTTGGAAACTCGCTGAACACTTCCTATTTACAAATGGGGATTACAGCTATTCTAATCACTGAGTTATTGCTTCCAGCAGTAGGAAAAGTCCAATGATTAATATTTGAAGTTAAGTGTCACTTTTAATATCAGGAAAAAAAATTCAAGACTCAGATCATCTGGTGAGAAGATAGCTATCTTGTAAATTTAATTTAACTTAAAGACTAGGTAAAATGATACTCCCAATTAAAATGAAAGATTTAAACGTATTTCCGATAAATATGGCAAGTTTCTGGGTAAATAGATGACCTCTTATTACAAAGAAAAGTCTTTCAAATACTAAGCCATATTTTTCATAGCCACATTTATAGCTGTTTGCATATACTTCTTCAAAGTTTCTTGCTGTGACTGTGGATTTGTATAATTCTTTTAATTTATCAACTTTTGCTTTGTATTTTTGAAGATATATTATTGGGTACATACAGATTAAGGATCCTTAAATCTTATGAAATGTCTTTGTATCTCTAGTAATGCATTTTGTATCAAAAGTGTACCTTTGGTTTTTTTGTTTTTTTTTTTGCCGTACGCGGGCCTCTCACTGTTGTGTCCTCTCCCGTTGCAGAGCACAGGCTCCGGACGCGCAGGCTCAGCGGCCATGGCTCACGGGCCCAGCCGCTCCGCGGCATGTGGGATCTTCCCGGACCGGGGCACAAACCCGCGTCCCCTGCATCGGCAGATGGACACTCAACCCCTGAGCCACCAGGGAAGCCCATACCTTTGGTTTTTTTGATTACCATTTGCTTGGTGACTTTTTCAATCATTTCACCTTTTAAAACTTTTAATGTCAAATGCAGAAAATTTATAGATAAATGTATGGTTTAGCCAATTATAAGGTACACATCCTTGTAATCAACCATGACAAGAGATAGGACTGTCAACTACCTCAGCAGTTCATGTCCTCCCTCCCAGTCACAACCTCTTCACTCCCTCCCACGAGTTATATTTACCTTAATTTTCTTCAATCTTCTCACTTGTCTGCCTAAGTATATGATATAGTTTTGTGTTTCAAAAACTAAATTCCCAATATTTTTCCTTATAATTTGTTGAAGAAGCCCCACCATTTGTCCTATAGAGTTTCCCATGGTCCCGATTTTGATACCTGCATTCCCAAAGTGTACTTTAGTTTTTTCTGTCATTTATATTTCCAGTAAATCAGTAGTTGGATCTGGAGTAAAGGCTGAAAACCCTTGGTTTGATGCCTGTTTTTAACAATAAAGTTTTACTGGAACACAACTATGCCTATTCGTTTATGTATTCTCCATGGCTGGTTTCACGCTACAACAGCAGAGGTGAATTGTGACAGAGACCATCTGGCAGCCAAAGGTTAAACTATTTACTATCTGTCCCTTTATAGAACAAAACTGCTGACCCTTGCTCTAAATGTTTACTCAAATCCAGGTTCATTTTTTGGGTAAAACTGTCTATAGGTCTATTTTCATCAGTAAGCACCTAATTATTTAGTTGTCTTTTCCTACAGCAGCCATAGATGCTCAATGCCTAGATTAATTCACTGGGAATTGGAAAATGTTGGTATTCTAGTTCTTTCATTCCTTTTTTACTTATTTGCTGGAATAATTCCATAAAGAGAAACCTGAGCTCATCAATTGCTTGGTGACTCAGTGGTATAGCTCATATAACAAATATAGATGAAATGCTTTCTTTAGCAGTTTAAAAAACATAGTTCTCAAACACTCTATGTAGGTGACTAATGAGTTTCTATGTAACTAGGAGTTCACGTATTTGAGGTGTTTCAATCCACGCTAGATATTTTCCTTATTGATGTTCAAATCGTCTCATCTTTGGCCAATGGGATATTCCAGCTGATTCTCAAATCTTTCTGACAAGAATTTAGCAATGTTTGTGGGCTTCCTTGTTATGTGCAAGACAAGATTTTTGCTCTCAGTTCATCTTGTACATTTTCTGCCCCCACCCTGTGTCTTTATTTTTTTAATAGATCTTTATTGGAGTGTAATTGCTTTACTATACTGTGTTAGTATTACAATACTGTATTAGTTTCAAAGTGAATCAGCCATATGCATACATATATCCCCATATCCCCTCCCTCCCACCCTCCCTACCCCACCTCTCTAGGTCATCGCAAAGCACCGAGCTGATTTCCCTGTGCTATGCTGCTGCTTTCCACTAGCTATCTATTTTACATTCGGTAGAGTATATATGTAGATGCTACTCTCAATTCGCCCCAGCTTCCGACCCCCGACCGCCCCCCCAGCCTGTAGTCTTATCTCCAAGGAAGCCTAGTTTCTTTTAGGTGGAAATGGTTATTTTAAGACCACAATTTAGGCACTAGAAAAGCTTTCTAAAACTGGATTGATCACTATTTCTAGACCAAGCTACAAAATTTAGACATACACATTAATACACGTATAAGATACCTCATGAGTTCATGCAAACACTTTCTGTTCAAATTCAGGACTAAAGGATAAGTCTGCTTTTGACAAAGCAATTATTTCTCTTTCTCCTTTCCCCCACAATCAGAAAATCCTAGTTCTCAAAGACACCAGGGATGCCTAAATTAGAAGGCTACAAGTACTTCTTTGCTTTACCCCACATTACATGACATTTTCACCAGTTGTCATTATGACTACAGAAAATACTTTAAAATTTCTTTGTGTATTTCTGCCATGTCTTACAGTTATATCTACAGTGTCAGACCATAAAACCATTACATACTACACTTTCTCCTTTATGTACCTCCCTCTAGTCCCAGTTCTAGATGCAGAGATATTTTTAATGTTTATCACTACTCTATGTCAAATTGCCTACAGTCATCTTGATGGTCTGAAACTAGTTCTCTACAAGATTTCCCAAGAAGGGTTCATGAGAACAATTCCTCCCCTAGTTCTTAAAAGTTAATGACAGCTTGTCTCCAGCCTTTATACTGAAGGCCAGTTTGGCTAGACTTAAAATTCTTGGCTTACCTTTTCTTGACTCATGGGTGTCTTTCTGGGATGTTTTCCTTGTAAGGGTGTTATCCTGGTTCCTTATTTTTTCTTTTTCTTCTAATTTTGTATGGATTTCACATCAATGTTTTTCTTTTGCTTGTTTTTATAAAATTTTCTTGACCCTTTAGAGGGTATAACTTCAATTAGGTTTGCTAGATCACAGCCACAGAGCTCCATATAACTCAGTTTTGTTGTTGTTGCTTTTTGGAGAAGCATTCAAAACTACAGCAGCTAAAATCTAATCTGATAGAAAGCAGATCAGTAGTTTGAGGCCAAGGTTGAGGGTTGTAGTAGTAATTGTGACTCTGATGGAGCCCACAGGGACTTTTGGTGGGGGGTAATGAAAAGGTTCTATATCTTGATTACAGTGGTGGCTTTATATGGTACATATTGCTTTAAGTAAATTTTGCCTCAAAAATTAATTTAAAAAATGACGCTATAGAAACTTCCTTTTGGTATCTCCTGGCTCTATTCCCCTGCCCTATTTTTAACTGGACCCTTTTTTCCTTTGTCTTTACTGTTCCTGTCCTACTCAATTTGGACTGCATTCCTAGTAGTTTATTCTCAATATGGGACTTTGTCCTGGAATGGAACTTTAGCTGACTAATTTTGAAAGTACATAGTGCTCTAATCTCTTCAGACCTTGCTGCAAACTGCGTATACTCATCCAAACTGGGGTGCATACCCATTTCTGGCTTCAGCTGCTGTATTAGTTAACTATTACATAACAAGTCACCACAAAACTAGCAGTTTAAAACAAAAATTACCTCTGTTTCTGTGGATCAGCGATTTGGAAGCAGCTTAGCTGGGTAGTTCTGGCTCATGATCTTTCTTGAGGTTTCAGTCAAGCTGTTGACCAGACCTACAGTCTCATCTAAAGGCTCAACTCGGGGAAGACCAACGGGCTGTCTGAATTCTCACAACATAACAGCTGGCTTCCACCAGAGGAAGTGGTCTGAGAGAGCCCAAAATGGAAGCTTCCATGTTTTCATAACCCAATCTCAGAAGTGGTATACCATCACTTCTGCCATATTCTACTGGTCACAAAGAGCAACCCTAATAAAATGTGGGAGGGAACTATGCAAGGTGTTGAGTACCAGGAAGCAGGAATTATTGGGGGTCATCTTAAAAGATGGCCACCATAGCTGCTACTCTCAGGTGAGATAGCTTGCTGAGGTAACCTATTATTTTGCAGTTCTTAGGTCAATCATATATCCTGTTACCCTCTTCTTCCTCTTGTAATAGTTACCGATACCGCACAGGTCTTGTAGCTTTCAGTTGTTTATCTCAGCAGCTATCTTGGTGTTTGTGGGAGATACCACATCACCCTAAATGTCTGTAGATACTGCCCTTAATTTTTGTATTAGATCTTTTCATTCTATTTGTTTTTATAAGGATATCCTTGTTTTATAAGGATATCTAGGAAGATTAAAATCTATGCTGTTGCCATTTTCCTAGAATCCCATCCATCCTTATATTTTCAACTTCTGTGATTTCATATTTAAGGAGATTTTCTTATAAGCAGCCTAAGAGTTTTGTTTTTATTTTAATCTAGTCTGTTGATCTTTGTCTTTATAATATTTAGTTCATATATAGTTAATATAATTGATATATTTGTTGCTACCATTTTACCATGTCTTCTATTTTATCTACCTTTTTGTCTTACTCTTCTTGATTGCCTTCTTTTGTATTATTCTATTTCCACTCTTAATTTGCTAATATTTTATTAATTTTTAGTGGTTCTTAGAGAATGCACCATGCAAACCTGAAAAATCAATCTGCTTTACGTTTTACTTTCAGTACTTTCCTGATCACGTCAGAATCTCAAAGCTTCATTTACTAATCCCATCCTTCACATGGTTATCATGATTTTATTCTACACATATTTTAATCTTATTTTTTCAGTAGTCTATTTGTACTCAC